ATCGTTAGTCTTAGATTCATAAATCAGTGATAACGATGAATGCGAATATATGTAAGATAAGTGACTTCTAATTAATAATATCTTGTTTAAGACGGGTGAAAATCTCATGGGAAAGCATCATTCCATTACTCTTTATGAAAAGGAGTGACAATTTTTTTTAAAATGCTTAAAAACATGTTCTCTTATGCATTAAGATGCCATCTAAAAAAAAAAAAAAGGAAGCCTTTTGTGAAGTTCAAAATATAATCTATTTGTTCCTAAAATAAACATGAATCGGGATATCAAATATGTTCTCAACAAGGTAGTTCGATCTTTAAAGATAAAATCACTAAAAGGAATTTTTACTTTCATAGATATTTTATTCTCTTAACTTGTTATTTTAAATATTAAAAAGAGATTTTATTATCGTAATGAGTCGAGATGAAAGTATAAGAACTTGAGATCTCTAATCTCTATAGAGTTTCAACAATTATTTTTAACTATGTAACCAATATTTTACTAGCGTGGTATGCCCCTAATTAATTAGTTGATATCATCTTATTCTACTTCGTTTCATCCTAAAATAATTAGGTGATATTATCTTATTTTAATCTATTTGTTTTTTCATTTTTTAAAGTAGATAAATATTTTTTTTTTACTTTAACCCATCATTAGCCATTCACTTCAATTAATTATCCAATCATAAAAAATCTCTCTTTATCTTTTATTTCTTTTTTATTTATATTATAGATAAATAATATTATTTTTTATATTTTTAATTTTAAAAATAATTTAAAAAAAAAAGACAATTATTTTATGACTGAAAAGTAAAATAACTAGCGAAGCTCATTTCCTCATCAGTCATCATCAGTTGTTACTTCTGTAGCGTTCAGCTTTATTCTTGATGTCGGAGCAAAGCATTTTTTCAGGCTGCAGCCCACACAACCAATTGGATGGTCTTCTGCTTGATCCGTGGTGTTGTTCCAGAAGGAAAAATCAGTTTCACAGTTGAGCCCACAAGTCGGCTTGGGCCAATCCAGTTTTCAGGTGGGCTTCCCTTGTATGCACTTCCAGGTTGGCAGAATTTTCACTTCAGGCCCGTTAACAGCAAATCCAAATCCTGTCCCATGGTTGTCAAAACCTTCTTTGACTGCACCCAGGCTTCTAGCCCAAGTGGAGGTGCACATACCCACCAACCTCGTATAAGAAAAGGAGAAGAGAGAGAGAAAAAAAAAATATATATATATATTTACTAATTTCTCAGTATTTAATAATCACATTGAATTCGACTAATTCATAATCGAGTTGTATTGGACCCTATTAACAAAAAAATTCTCTCAACACTTGTTTCTTTATTCACAAGACTTGAATTTAAAATCTTATTTAAAAGGGACCGAATTCGAATCTATCTCTATATTATGATCCCCATTTTCAAACTAGCTTCTTTTTAGGTAAATCGATTTTAAAACTTCTAGTTCAATGTTTGTAGAGTGTATAATTAAGAACATGGTAAAAGTAATAATATACGAGGGTCATGCCATTTTAAATGATGTTAAAAAACAATAATAGTTATGTCGTGACTAAATATACAATTGTAATTTCTTTTCATTGAAAATTAAAATATATAAAATTTAAATGTATATGGTGGTTTCAAATGAGTTCATTGCTCTTGCTAGATCTTAATTTTTTTAAAGTTAAAATACATAATTCACAATTTTTTTTTACATTAAAATCTTATAATGCTTTGTAATAATAATATATTCTTTTTATCATTAATTGACACAAATTCACACATTTAATGCCAAGTTAACGTTATATATATATATTTTTTACAAAAAGTAGATATTAGTTTATATTGTAAAAAAATAAGTAAAAAATATTTTAAAATTACATTATTTTAATAAAATTACATGAAAAAAGACTAAAATATTTTAATTTTTAAAATAAGAATAAGGTTATTTTAGTTTTTTTTTTCGTGATATTTTATTAAAATGACATAATTTTAAGATTTTTTTTATTTAATATTTTACAATACAAGTTAATACACTTTCTTTTTTATAATGACTGCTATAAAATTTCAATTGCACGTAATTTATTTTAGAAAATATATTTATTTCAAGTGCCACTCCATTTGTGTTTTTATTATTAATAGAAACTAGAAAGTCAAATTTAAGTGGTCCTCTTGTACAATAATAGCAATAATAAAGGACCTCACGGGAAATCCATTTCCCCCAACCACAGGCCACCTCTTTCTTCCCTTCTTCCCAAAAAAAAAAAAAAAAAAGAGGGGGAAGAAGAAGAAGAAATAAACCGTACTGGTTTCTCTTGTTGTGGTTGCCGGTAACCCACCAAAGCACCACGGGAAAGTTCAAACCTTGATCCTAATTTCTCCCCCAGTTCCTCCCCTTCTTTTACTTTTCAATCCATCAAATTTTACTATGAATTAAATGGATTGTCTTTCTGTCTGAAATCTTTATTGGTCTTTGCCTTTTGGGTGTTTTGCCACTCCTACATAGATATACACCCAGGAGGAAGGAGAAAATGAGAACGGGAAAGGGAAATCAGGAGGAGGAAGAGTACGAAGAAGAGAAACAAGGCCCTTCTTCTAATGTTACTTCTGTTAGCAACAACCTTAACAAAGGTACCAGATCCATCCTTTCTGGATCCCTCTTTCTTTTTGTGGTATAGCTCTGCTTTTTCCTTGCTAAATTTGATTGTTTCTCATTGTTTTGAAAAGGGTGTTGCTTTGTTTGTTTGTTGGTCGTTTTTTTGAACATGGGATGGTGGGTTGATTTGTTTTTGTGTTTCTGATTGTGGGGTGATTTGGGTTTTGGATGTGGAAGCTGATGGGAAGAATAGTGAGAAGGCTAATGCAATTCGATCGAAGCATTCTGTCACAGAGCAGCGGAGAAGGAGCAAAATCAACGAGAGGTTTCTTCATGTCTTAAATTTGAATTTCCATTAATTTTGCTGTTTCTTTACAAAAGGCATTTGTATGATTTTAGGTACCTGTTTGTTTTATGGCTCCCTGAAATATTGCTTTCTTTGTTTGGCAATTTAATCAGTAGTGAGCTTATTCAGTTAGTGAATTGTGGTGATAAAAGCCCAGAAATGTACCTAATTGGCTTTCTGCAGTTGTCGCAGACTCCCTAAAAGAACTATTAACATGACATTGAGCCATTTGATTATATAAACCTGGAATTGTAGTTGGTTAGGAAAGAGTGAGTCTACTTAGTCCCAGGTTTCACTCAACTGAATTTATAGTTTTGCTTTTGCATAAATATTTCCGAACTACATGGAAACAACTTGCTTAACTAACCAAGAATTTCCATTTTAGACCTGAAATGACAGTTTCAAATAAATATCTGTTGGTAATGCTGTCATGCATGAAAATCGTGCACTGCAGATTTTGGCTTGTTCCATTTTTAGCAACATATTAACTACTGTTGGTGTGTCGGCCCCTGGAAGCAAAACTTAAGCATTACGGATTGCCACAAGTGTAACATGATTTTAATTGAGACTTGAGTGACATGGCTATGTGTTTGTGACGGTAACTTAAAAGTTTTTGTAGTTTTTCTTTTATCTTGATGAACACAAGTCATGTCCCTACTTCATAAAAGAAGAGACCCATGTCGTTATGGATTTGAAATTGCTGAAAAGTGTTGGACATGGATTCGTTAGAATTACATGAAGAATCTATGCAACTCAGTTGGGCATTCAGAATTGGCTTGAGTTGTACTTGTTAACTTTGTTTTGTGCTGATAAAAAATCTTTTTCTTTCAGATTTCAGATGTTAAGAGAGCTAATACCCAACACTGATCAGAAAAGAGATACAGCTTCATTCCTTTTAGAGGTACATTCTGATAAGTGAATTGCATGTGTTAATGTCTTGAGAAATTCATACTTAAAATTCTGACTGATCATTGATGTGTATTGGCAGGTGATTGAGTATGTTCAATATCTACAGGAAAAGGTTCAGAAATATGAGGGTTCATACCAGGGATGGAGTCCAGAGCCCACAAAATTGTTGCCATGGGTATGGTTCTAATGCTGCCAGTGGTTCTTTTACAGTTTCCATTTAGCATGGGTTGATACCTCTTTTGCAGTTCTACAGGCATGCAAGAGGCAACAATTTTTGAGTTCATTTTTCTTGAAATAAATTGATTCTTTGCAATATTGTTGTTAAATTGGGAAAACCATCTTGGTAGATCTAACAAACTATGTCCAAGCCTATGAATTGATGGTCATTTGCTCATAGTTATAATGGTTTAAAGGAAAAAAATAAAAAAGAGAAGGGAAAGAATATAGACAAGAAGATGGAATGAACAATGTGGCATTTTAAATATAGTGTCACTGGATTCTGCTCATATTTTCCTTCTCCTCATGTGCTATCCTATTATATTTCTGACTTAAAAATTCAGTTTTACCATGGCTGCATGTTCTTGTTATAGTATGTCGTTATGTGGTGTGCTCATTTCTTATTTCCTTGTGTGAATGCTTTAAAGAGTAACCATGTTTTGTTTCTTCGTATTTCTCTTGTTCTGCTTGTGATGGTAATTTACCTTTAGTATGGTCCCCCCCCAAAAAAAAAAAACTTCTTAGTCATTTATTCCTTGAAACAGAGAAACAGTCACTGGCGTTCTCAGGGCTTTGTTGGTAACTCTCAAGCCATGAAAAATGGTTCTGGTCCAGGGTCAACATTTCCTGGAAAATTTGATGAGAATAACATTAGTATGACCCCCACAATGTTTACAAGTTCCCAGAATCCATTAGATTGTGAACCAAATAGGGATGTTACCTCCAAAGCAACAGATCAGCAGCCTGAGCTGGCAAATAAAGGAACACCTCTATTCATGCCTGCTTCTGTCCAGGGAGACGGTGTGCATTTGCAGCCTCTTCATAGACCAGTGTCCGATGCGCAATTAACTGATTCTCCTATCCTTAGTGATACAATGACTCAAATGGAGGAGCTAACTGTGGAAGGAGGAACGATTAGCATCTCAAGCATTTACTCTCAGGGGTGAGTGATTCTGTTACTTTTGTTTCTATAAAGTATTTGAGGCTACTTTTATTGCATGGTACACCAATTAAACATGACCCATAATTAGCCATATGTTCAATGGTGGGTTTTCCCAGTTAAATTTTTGCACTGAAGTTCTTGTCTTTTGTTCTTAGTCTGAGCACATTTTTTGTGATAACCAAGTATTCTAGTTTCCTTCATGGCCTAGGTTCATAAACAAATCCTTCTTTGAAGAGGGGAAGGGGATTGTTCTGATGGTCATCAACTTATCATTCATTATTCTGATACATTTTGTTTCTTCTTTTGAGTGGTGGTGATGGTGGGGTAGGGACTGAGGGATGTGACGGGGTTTAAATTAGTGCTAGTGTTCTGGTTATATATGCTTCAGCTTTATCCATAGGTGGTCCCAATATTTTAGCTACTGATGTTTGTAAGCTATCTCTCAGCCAGATTCTACAATCTGTTCATTGAAAGGTGGATGGCACTTGAGGTTTCTGGATTGTGTTGATATCTATTGATATTCTTGGCTTGGAACATTTTGAAACCTAATTCTAGCTTTCACCTGTTACCCTGGTTAATTCTAGAATTTAGTAAATATTGTAGTGGGAAATGCACTGTGATTGTGCTGCACTACTTTTGCTGCTGTACTGTTGACATCCAAAGTTGTGTTGGGCTTTTCCTTCATTTTTCTTTGTGGTTAATTCACTATGAGCAGTGCTAGGGGCACTTGCCTCCTGCACTCTCCGGCCAACACTTCCCCTTTCATTGGGCCACGTAAGGTTGTTTAACCTCTGAAGTGCAACCTCTTTCTGAATTAAAATAACGTGGCCCAATGAAAGGAGTGTTGGCCGGAGAGTGCAGGAGGCGAGTGCCCCTAGCATTACTCATTCGCTATTTATTGAACTATATGCTGAGAAGTTATATGGATTTTCGTGCAAGCCAGGTTATTGAACTCTCTGACACAAGCACTGCACAGTGCGGGAATAGATCTGTCACAGGCTAACATCTCAGTCCGGATTGATCTTGGAAAGAGGGCAAATAGAGGGCTAACCCCAGGAACATCTGCTGCTCAGGTATGAAGCTGGTGATATTAAAGATCATGACCTTGGAATGATTTTATTGGTTTAGCCTGGTTTGGGGTTACTCCTATTGTTATTGCAAGTTTTACGACCCCTCTTGGAATTTATCTACAAACACAAGATCTTTCTGCTGAAAATTGTTCTAATTCTTATTATGTTTTCTTATCAGGATCCACAGAACTCCCCAAATCAAGCCATGACCCATCTCAGAGATGTGAGCACGGAAGAGGATTTGGATCAAGCTCAGAAGCGGATGAAGAAATGATTCTCGTGTAGCATTTTCTTGAGTGACCCTTTTTTTTTTTCTTTTTCTTTTTTTTTTTTCTTGTTTCTTTCAATTTCTTCTTGTTTTCAATTTTGGTTGTATATGCATACCTTTGGTTCCGATGGGATGGTATATCCTGCAATGAATTTTAGGAACTAACAAGCTGCTCGGATAAATTATTATGTTCTATTCAGGGGATAAGTTGCGAGCATTCGTGTTTGTATAATACATATTGATTTCGGATGTATAAGATGAAGCCTCTCTGCCCATCTGGCCTTAGAAGATGGATTACCTTAACCTTGCTCTCTTCTTCCTTCTTTTTATTTATTTTTTTAAATAAGTTCTTTAAAATATTTTATAAAAATCATCAAAGCTGTATGCAACTGTCTTTCTCCCAAAATGGTAAATGAATAGAAATAATTTATCTACTAGTATGCCGGTTCTGCAAATGGTGGCAAACATTCCTGTGGATTGGAATAGAAGTAATCTTCGTAACTGGGATGATAAGGGTTCTCCTCTCTTCTTTCTGGTTTTCCCATTCGGTTTTCATGAGCTTTCTTCACTAACAAGGAAAATTCATCCCAGCTGAGAGTTCCAGTTCTGTACTCATCAATCAGGCTGACCAAAAGCTTTCTGTTTGGGAGGATTGTTGTTCTGAATCCCAAGTATCTGCAAAAACAAATAATGTCAAAAGCAATGATCCGAGAAAGTTATATGAGAAAGGACTAAATGATCTTTAGATACCGGCGATGGCCTTCAACAGCTTTTGCCATGTTTCCTCTATCAAAAGTAGGAATGAACACGTCGCTCTCCAACGCAACAATATAATCCAATGCTGCCATCTGATCTAAATGGTTCAAGAACGGCATGAGTTCAGAGGCATTCAATACATTCTCTTTCCCAATCTGTTTTAGATAATGGCAAGGGACACGTATTAGTGAAACAAATAAGCTTAACCTACTTAAATTTTTTTACTCGGTATTGTTTCTTGTTAGATCAAGTAACTTACCAGATTTGGATAAGCTGTTGTCAGGTTTACCATTCTGTTATCTTTATTGTATATTTCTCCAGCAGCAAGATAAATAGTGGTGTTCCTATCAATGCCTAATGCCTGCAATGCAAGAGCAGTTTCCTCAGGAGTTAACGGGCAAAAACCTTTCTCTCTTCTTCTTCTACCATCCAATGGTCTATGTGCCCATCCATCATGAGAATATCTGACAAATTGTTGAACATTTTTGTTATATAGCAGCTTAATCCTACCAAATGCTGAAACCAAATGGTTTGTGGTTTTTCATCAAGGAAGGTTTCTCACCTCATTTCTTTCAACTCTCCAGCCTCTTCTCTAGTTAAACCTTCAGTGCAGCCACTGAATGACAACATATCCTTTTCATATCTGAGATGAAGAACAATATAAGGACCTTTCTGCTTTAGAAGATTAACAAATTTTCTGCCTGTTTCCTCAATTCTCTGAGTAAATCTCAATGCTTCATAGTTTACTCGACAGCGCAACTTCTGGAGCTCTTCAGGTAAACCATTGTTAGCAAGCCTATAATCAGTTCTAGTGAACTTCAATATTCCATGCCTTTGCATGTGAGGAAGAACCTGTGACACAAAACTTATCAGTTCTTACTGGAAAATCAGAAACCTTAAGCTTGACAAAAGGCAGGGGGTTCCAAACCCTTTCATGATAATAGCTCAAGCTAGCATAAGGAACAGGACGCATAGAGTAGGGATATTCCAATTCCAGTCTTCTCTTTTGCTCTGCAGGCAGCTCTCTCAGTATATGGACTTCATCTCTCAGAGATGTAATCAAATAATCCACATCAAAGATATCTGCAACTGTGCTGCCATACCAAGAAATGAATATGTTAAGAACTTCCTACATCTCTTAATGGGAAAACGGACTCATGATATCAGTGCATCCGGGATCTAGTTCTAGATCCAGGACGAAGATAGTGAATAGTTGAATTGAGCCACCTGTTATCATTCCAGTAACTTCCATTAGCGAATTCAGGAAGAATGAGAGTAGCATTCAAATATCTTGCAACGACAACCATGTCAGAAAACTGTGAAGCATAAGGAAAGAAAGCAGTATATGTTAGAATGTCACAGTAAAGCAAACTACAATCCTATGGAAATTTTGTAGAAGTCACAGATAACTCACAGCAAGACGCTTCTGATTCAATCCTCCATTACATGAAATCATTAGGTATCCATTGTTTTTATAAACCCCTGCATGCAGTGACCATGAGAAACACTTCAGATTGAGAAACCAACTTCCATATTAATCAGGTGTAAAATTATCAGGAGAGGTACTTACTTTCAGATGGGAAAGAAAGTGGATAATAGAATGAGGCTATGGTTTTGTCATCCAATGTTTCCAACTGCATCGCACAAACCCATAGCAGGAGAACTATTATTGCAGCTACAACAACCCAAAATTTGATACAAGCTAATTGATGAGGCCGAGGAGCATCTTTCAAAATCTTCACCTCCATTTTTTTGTTCTGCTTCTTTTTCACCTTTTCATGAAGAAGTTTAAATTTGCTGATCCATATTCACCCACAAACCGTTTTCTGTAGTTACTATATCTTCTCTCTATCATAGTTCAACATAAGGATCCCTATTCACACACAGCAGACGATCTGAGATTGTTCGTTCATCTGTGAGTTGTTTCTTAGGAAAGGGAAGGGATTTAAACAATTAATTTCTTATGTTGGCTGGTTGGTTCAGGCATGATGTCAAACACGAGAGTAAGAGCACCATGTTGTCCATGAGACCAGAATTTCCATTTCTTATGACTGTTATTGTGATGATCAATCCCAAATCTTTCTTATTCTGTCAATTTGTCAATTATTTTCACCTCTAAACATGTGATGATTGTGTGAATGCCCTGAAAATAACTTTGACATTTTTTTTAAAAAAAAATTTAATATGCTTTTCAATTACATAGATAATCCCAGAGAATCAGATGAAAAGCGTCTTAATTGCATTTTCGAATGCCAAACATGTCCTTGAACAGAAGAAATGAAGTTTTTCACAAAGAAAAGAGGGCTCTGTATAATTGTATCCGTGCTTGCTTCTATTGGTCACCATGATATTTCTAGTATGAATCATCAAGAAAAAGATTGAAATATCAAGGCTAATCCTACTACATCTGGCTGGAACACTAGGAAAAAAATTATTTCTGGTCTTGATATGGATCAGATGAGAAAAGTAGATTTTATCATCTTTAATCTGTTTCATGTGCAGCCTCTTCCCTGGTAAGAGCAGCAATCGCAGATGATGCTGGCTCATATGAAGAAATCTACTTGTAAATCCATTCATTTGCACGGCCTCCGGATTCATCCATGTCTATGAAAATGCTAACCGCCTGCAGAAAATAAAAGTTAAAATCAACCTGTTTTCTGCTTTACCAAGTAGTTTATCAACATGGTTAAAAGATAACAACACTGTCCTAGTTTCAATAAACACAGATTGTTCTTTTCTGATAAAATTACCAATAATGAAACATTCAACTTGTAGAGCAGTCTAGAAAATTGTGGAAAGAGTATCGTATGATGATTTTACCTTCCCTATCCGAGGCCGTTCTTTCAACTTTGCTAGGCTGTTTCGGATGTGTGAGACCGCTCCCCAACATTTCAATGTGTTTGCAACATCGTCAAGCCTCAAGATATACTCTTCTTCAGTTAAAGGAAAGGATCTCTTTACAAAAAATGGTAAAAGAGAATTAGAGCATGCATAATATGTGAACATTAATGTCCTCTAAAACAACAATACAGCAATAAAAATCATGAGGAGCAGCAACTTCTAGCCACCAATAAGGAAACTTGACTGGAAATTAGTCTAAAAATAGAATGGAAATAACACCACATCTAGAGTGGAGCTAAAAAACACCTAGAAAGCTATGTCACTCAGCTATAAACACCGATTACAATGACAAATAAAGAAAGCAAGGGTATATCCCAGTAACTAAAACCATCTAACATCAACTCCAGACAGTGGAAGTGCCACGTTGAATCCATAAGAGATAGGTTTGAATCCCCTCACCCCTGCTATCCTAAATAAAAACTACCTAAGACCTCCTTGCCAAATTTTAAGTATTGAGTATATGGGGAAAGTGCCATATTGATCGAGTGAAAACTAAATAGTCTTCGAATAAATTGTTTCAAAGAACTGTGCAATTCCTAATTTGATACAAGTTTTTACACCTAGAGAAACACCGTGATCAGCTTAATTAGTTCTAAGACTTCATGATGTTACTTGCAAGTTGTAAAATGACATTTCCTTATTTCATGATAAAAAAAATCCATAGCTCAACAATCTGCTTACCTGCTCCATGTATTTCCACATGACATTCAATGCAAGAAGATTTCTTCCCATGAACTCCTACAACAGGTACATGAAAGGCAAAACAGTTAAATACTAGAACAGTATTTGAAGCAAGCACAACATAGAAGGAAGGTAGGCCACCGAGTCACAAACTTATTACATCAGAAAGATCCTGCCAGAATGCATCATTTATGTAATCAACAGAGCAATATAAGTTATATTACAACAAATAAAGCTGATTAAGTTCTCCTATTCATTCAGAGATGCAAACCTTTTTTATTAGTTGGACATCATAGGACCTCCCATACTTGTTCCTAATAAGAGTTGCCAGGTCTAAGCCGCTAAAGGTAGAATCATCATTACCAACTATTCTTTCCAGATTTTTTCGAAATTCACTATCTACCTGCAACGGTTGCAAAAGAAGATAAAATGAAATCATAAATCATGTTCTTGAATGCGTACTTATTTCAACAAATCAGAAAAGATAATATCTAACAAGGAGGGAACAACATACTTCTCCACTCTCGTCTTTGGCAGATTCTTTCTCATTAGCTTCATCTTCATTTTCATCTGGATCCATGCCATCATCCACAGCACTGGAAAAGATAGGTCCACATTTCCTAGTACTTTGCCGGGTAGAAATAGCAAGGTACTGACCGTGGGAAAAGACCAATCCCCCAAAAGGAAAATAAGGACCATAACATCTCAGACATGGAACCTTATAATATCTTCCACCCCTGCTGATGTGCTCTTGAACTCCAACTGACCAAGTACAGTGGTGGTGGTGGCTTGATATAATACCCGTCATTTCCTGTAAATCATAGTGCCATCAATCCCTATTCCATGATGAAATTCATCTCCCAGAATCTTGAAAATCAACAAAAACAAAATCTTGGGAAATGAAACAAGAGAAATTGTATGAAATTGGTACAGAAGAAGAACCTGGTAGTAAATGAGCAAAGGGTGCTTCCTTCGGTGAGAAAACGGTGACTGAAAAAAGTCGTTTGTTAGTTATGTTGTGGGGGATTGGAAAGAATGTGGCTTTGGTTTTGGATAGCGTAATGGGAGGGAACAGGGCAACCTAGCTCTGGGTGAAACAATCAAGACCGTTGGTTTCTGGCGCTGAGAGTAAAGGAGCGGTTGGTTGGTGTTGCGTCGCGCCACCGGTCATCAGGAGCCTTGCATTATTGGCATTGGGGTCTGCTGACTGTTAATTGAACCGAGACCCATCTCGACACGTGTTAATCTCAGTTATATATATATATATATATATAAATAAATAAATAATGCCTATACTCTTCATCTCTTAAAAATTAAAAAAAAAAATTATCTTAAAATAATGTCATTTTAATAAATTTTTATTGAAAAAAATAAAATATTATATTTTTAAAACATAAATTAAAATATTTTTTTATCATTTTTTATAATATATTATTAAAATTACATAATTTTAAATTTTTTTTTAATTTTTAAGAGGTAAAGAAATATAAACACTAATTTTTATATATAAAATACAAACACCTATAGCTCGATACACAAAAACCCGGTGTCAACCGAATTCCAACCCACAAATTCAAAATTCAGAGAGAAAAAAAAAAAAAGGGAGCCTGCTCTTGGTATGAGGATTTGGAACTACTAGAGTACTACTAAACGATTTTATTTAATTTAATAGTCAGTAATTATTATTAATAATTTAAATATTTTTATTTATTATATTGGATAAAATTAATTTTAAATTATTATACTAAACAGCATCTAAATACACCATAGAAATGCCAAACCATAACTTCTGTAGAAAAGTTGCAAACCATGTTTGAGGACATGAAATAAAACAGAACGGGCCTTTCTCCTCTAACAGTTTGTAACTTGAGCTTTTGCTAACCTAATAATATTTTTGAATTAAAGAAAACAGAAGAGAAATGGAGATATTTCTTTTATTTAGTTATTAAAAGAATTAAAGAAGAGAGAAAAGAAAGCCTTTCCCCTTTCTTTCCAATCTTCTGAAACCAAATATATAATAGGTTTCAAGATTTGTTTAAACAAACAACACCCTTATGGAGTATCGTTGCTTGTGTTTGTTTCTTAAATCTAAATTCCCCTTGTCAAAAACAAAATGAAATAAAATGACAAATGACAAGGGTTTAGCCAAATGCTGTCTTGGGAATTTAGGTAATAAGAAATAAACAGGACGGCATCATCCTCCAGCAAAACTATTTACATTTAGGCAATGAAATTTACAACTTCGTCAACAAACTCCCAAAACTTGCCATTTCCATAAGACTTCAAGCATAACAGATTAACCGTCCACCAGACTGCATATCTACCTCAAACAAAAAATGCTGGCCCTTGAAATCAAAGCTGCCAATCTATAGGTGGAACCCCAACTTGCTCCAGGAGCTGATTTGTGCGGGAGAAGTGCCTGTCCAAATCACATGCAAATAAAGAATGTAATAAGTTTCTTGTCTTTCAACAAATTTGAGTATTCTCTTCTTAATTGAAGAGATGCTAGTTTAAATAGTCAGTAGACAACACAAATGTAAGCTATATTTCCATTTTATAATGTTTGGAGATGCTACTTGATTCCATGCCTGATTAAGTGATCACGTGAGAACATAGAAGGCAGTGATCACCAATCATAATCACTTGTTTGCTGTACATATTACCTAGTTCAATTCGACAATGTGACCATTAAACAAAACCCCACTAAAATAATAATTCATAAACTTATTGTCTTAAAACCCAAGAAAAACAGTATGTAGATCAAGATAAGCAGACATGGTGTGAGCCATGCAGGTTTTCTATGCTCCTTAGAGACATAATGCTTAAATAAACAAAACTGACCTGCAGCCAAAGAAGCCTTTATTTGCAGACAAACCAGAAGGATGTGCTGCTTTCAGAGTGTGATGCTTTGTCTCATCAATCAATCTGCAAAACATTAGGAAAGGTCTTAACCAATTTTATCAAAAATCACTTATGGTTAACATTTTGGGGTCTCTTCAGAATGTTTCTTACATTTAAAGTGTTGCAGTTTACAGTTTCAAATCTATTGCCATGACATCACAGATGTTGCAGTCAGAGGACAATACTTACAGAACACAAGGAAATATATAGATAATATAGATAAGATTTTTTAGTGTCAAACTTAATCTAAGTAAAGATATAATAGCAAAGGGAATTTTCTCCTGATGAAAGAGTTTTAAACCAGAGTGTTTTCAGTTTTGTCCTGTGAAAAGCAGAGTTTAACTTTAGTACAAAAAAGAATTATCCTAGAATAATAGAAGTTAAGGGGCTAGGGAACTGGGGAACCCATTAATGTATATGGTCATTAGCATGAGAAGTTTCCATTTCTAAGATGTAAAAAGAAAGCCCTAAATATTTTATCTCTCAAAAAGTTCAGTAAAATTAAAGCTTAAAAGGCAGTCACCTAGATTTCTGTTGAGCAGAGTTCCCCCAAAGGAGGAAGACAACTCCTTTCTTCTTTTGTGAAATAGTTCTGATAACAGAATCAGTAAATTGCTCCCATCCTTTCTTTGCATGAGAATTTGCTTGATGACTCCTAACTGCATACCAAGAAAGAAACAAAAATAATAAGAAAGCCATACAACAATCAGTTAGATAATGAACTTGTTATTCTCTTCCTAAATAGTCTAGAGGAGGCACTCATTCAGCTCATCTCTAATAGGAAAATATATGTTGGCGAATACATTTTTCTCCAGAAGTCTACCTTATTTAAGATAAATAAGGTACTGTAGTTTTCCACAAGCAGGAAGAAAAATGAACTTATAAACCATGGGTTGTTGCAGGCTAGCATGACAATCACTTTATATCTAAGCAATGGCTATGACTATTGTTGATGTAAGAGTCATTTAAGATACTGATTTGTAGAAATGAAAATGGTGCATTCATATCATTCAAGGAACAAAGTTGTGTAATTCAACATAAGATAGAGAAGGAGCACGTTACCTGTAAGAACAGTATTGAGCAATACAACACCCTACAATGTGGTAATAAGAACATGAGGAAATGCTTTGCTAAAGAATGAATAAATCATAAAATCCCCATTCACATGGAGACGACTTTGAGATTCAAATAAATTAAAGAAAAAAAAAATGAAGAGAAAGGAATGCACCGTGTAATATCTTCAAATTAATTTATGATTTCAAAACCAGATTAAAACTGAATGCAGATCACAGCTCCCAAAATGTTCAATGAATTTATAAAGCACAGTGATGGATGTCTAGATATTGGATTTCAAGCCCTCATATATAGAGATTGTAGTTGTCACCTGCACAGCCCATTTCTCTAGATTTCCATGCGATGGAATTGAACAGCCAAGATCCTGCTTAAGTTCTTTAAATATATTGACCAGGCTTGAAGGGATCTTCACTCCTTCTGGTACAGAAAAGGAAAGGCCCATTGCTTGACCAGGTCCATGATAAGGGTCCTGATAGAAGAGAAAAACACAACCAAAGTTGACAACCTCTGTGATGGTAAAAATGGTACATTCATATAAAAATGAGCCAATACTTCATATAAATCGTTTTTTCACATATTTTAAACTCAAGAGTCTCTTTCAATTTAATCATCAATCTCAAGCTTGCGTGATTGATAATAAGGATTAGGAAAGTTTGTCAAGTTAATAAATTTTAAGTTAGATTCTCTCAGTTCACTTACTAGTCCTACTTCTTTAATAAAAAAAAAAAAAGAGAGGGAAAGACTAAACCTTTATACATTTACAACTTTAAGAACCATTTTCGATAATTACCCATAATAACTTGAGCATAGCCTATATACCCTATAGCAGGATCCAGGCAGCTCGTCCATTGCACTCAATTTGATTCCACCAGCATCAATCAATCCAACACTATTTTCTCAAAAGTGAAAGCAAACTGGAAAACACTTAGTACAAGCATACCTGTCCAATAATAACAGCCTTGACTCTGTCGAACGGAGTAGAGTTTAAAGCATTGAAGATCAGGTGCTGCGGGGGGTAAATGGGCACATTGCCACCGCATATCTCACTCTCCACAAATTTGCACAAGTTCTTCGCGTATGACTTCTGCAGCTCTCCGGGTAGCGCTTCCAACCACGTTGCCTCTACCAGCAGCTCCTCCAGTTTCACATATCCCGATCCTTCAGCTGCACATCAGAAATCAGAACACATTTACCACTTCATTACTAGGAAATTAAAAGATACCCAAAAGAGAGAGAGAAAGACTGCATTAGCGAATAGCGATTTACGAACCCTTGGATTGCGAGACTTTCTCGGTACAGATTTTGATGTTTCGTTTCGATTTAGCGAGAAATTTGTTGAGTTCAATGCGCGATTTCTGCTCCGCCGTGAGGGTGCTGCTGACGTCGGAGTTCGAGGAGGAAACGGAAAGGGAAACGGAGTGAAGGGGTTTGGAAGGATCGGAGAGTTTGAGGCGCTTGGCCGGTTGGAAGAGATCGATTAGGGTTTTGGAGGATGCGGCCATTGCTCTTCTTCGCGGCGGATGTTGGCGCCAATCCCTGAAACACGAGTTCATTAATCGGAGAGTACTAAAAATACAGGAGAAAAACAAAATTTTTTATCTAAAATTTGGCGGAAGGATTTGGAGGGAAACCTGTAAGGGCTTTACCCTGATCTTTGGTGTTGTTTGGCTCACGGCAATGTTTCTTCTCTTTTTCCCCAAGGAGGGAACACCTATTCCCCCTAAAACACAAAGTTTTGAAAAAAGCAATTTTTTTTTTTTTTAAACAAGGACAATTATAGGGGAGGAAGAGAAAATGACATGGTGCATGGGTTAGAAAAGTATTAATAATTGTTAATTTTAATAATTTAGTGATTATTTTTTCATTAAAAGTAAAATATGCTGAGTTTAAATTGCATAATATACGAGTGAAGTGGGATAAGGGATGACAAGTAATTATTTTTGCAACCAAAAGCAAAAATATATATATATATTTTTTAATAATTTATAGATTTAATGTAAGTATTTAAATAATTAATGAGATTCTTGTAATTGCACCAGACCCGAAGTCCTTCTCTAGTCCGCGCTTGCACTTCGGAATGACCTGCAAAGCCCCGAGGTGGAACTTGGGGTAGACACTCCAATGCTTAAGTCAGCAATAATCGGGGCTACCTTTAGGGC